AGACCTCCTCAGGAGGTAGGAGTTTCCTCCTTACTAGTCTTTAAGAAAAACTTGGATGTTTATCTGTCAGATGTATTATAAAGAGGATTCTTTATCAGGTAGGGCCTTTCCAACTCTCTGATTTTGTGATTATAGCTTAATTCTGAGCTGTAGGAAGTGGCAGATCAGAAATTCAAGGGTCTGCCACATATGCATTTACTAGTGCCTATGAATATGGTATTGTGGACTCCTCTTTTAAATTACTGTGATATAAGTGAGCGGGAAGAACAAAGTGTACTTTTGTAGTACGGTCCTGAGCTAGCTTTGACAGTGTTAGGGGCCATGATGAAATTGTTACCATGGAGACCTGGTTCTTGAAATTTGCCAACCACTAGGTTAAGCTGCAAATCAGCCAACCAAAATGTATTTATTGTGTGCCTGTTATGTGGTTAACAGTGTAGTAACTGTTTGGAAGATAAGTGTGGGATCTGGACACTCCCTACAATGAACTTAAAAACCAAATGAGGAGACAAGACTAACACATATAACATGACAGTAAATAGCATGAAAACATCAATCAACAAATATTTACTTGGCACTTATCTGTATAATCACAGCGAAGGAGTAGAGAGGCATTTAAAAATAGGAGTTGATCTGTCGTGTTCAAATAGGGAGCTGTCTTTGAAACTATTCTTTTCTATTAAATAAGGTATTGGTTGTAGGTAATAAGTAAAATATCTTTAGTTTGTATTTATATTTTCCAAAGTCATATGAACCCCCAAGAAAAAAATCAATAAGTATTTTCAGAGGCATGCTGTAAAATGCCTTCTGCGTAGTCATATTATTAGATGTGCACTCAGTGCAGCCTCTGAGCTGAAATGCAACAATGTATGGATTGATTCTCTGTTGTTTGTACTAATTTTGGCTTAACAATTACCACTAAGAAAACAGAGGTTCTTTATCAGCCAGTGACACACCACCCATATTTCGAATCATCAGTTATAGGAAATGGAAGAATTTTGAATACTGTGGATAAGTTCACTTACCTTGGCAGTACACTTTCCAGGGATGTACACATAGATGATGAGGTTGATGTCTGAACTGCCAGAGTTAGCTCGATATTTGGGGCTCTCCAAAGGAAAGTGTGGGAGAGAAGAGGTAGCCTATCAAACTGAAAGTCTACAGAGCCGTTGTGCTGACTTCATTGTTGTATGCCTGTGACCCGGACAGTGTACCAGCGCCATGCCTGAAAACAGAACTGCTTCCATTTGAATTGTCTGAGAAAGATTCCAAAGACTACCTGGCAAGACTGGACACTGAGGCCAATCATTCAAACTCTACTGCAGAGAGGGCTACTCTGATGGGCTGTCTGAATGCCAAATATACTGTTTGCCTAAAGGACTATTTTACAGAGAACTCACATAAGGCAAGTGCTCACATGGAGGTCAGAAGAAGCCATACAAGGATACTCCCAAGGTCTTTCTGAAGAACTTTGGAGTAGATTTTGAGACAAAGGAGAAACTGGCACAGATCATCCAGCGTGGCATGCCAGAATCAAAGAAGGTGATGTGCTCTATGAGCAATAGCTCAAAAGAAACATGAGATGCAAAACTTCAGAGATATCTCTACTCCCAATGTTCAGGTAGACTATTTGTGACTGACCTGTGGTATAGCCTTTTGAGCATACATTGGTCTGATCAGCCATAGTTGGGCACAATGTATCTTCACCCCAACACAGTGATGTCATTTTGTCCTCTTCAAAGCATGAAGGACAACAACCAATGATTATTAGATCTCGTCATGGAATGGAGGTGACCCTGATTTTTTGAAGGCTATGCCAGTGTAGGGCAAACCGTGGCAGGAAGCAACATGTTGGAAAGCCTTCACTTACTGGCCTGGTAACAGACCGTGTTTCTGTTACCTAACACCAGCTTCCCTAAATCTGAAGAGGTTCAACAGCAGATACTTCATAGGATGATGAGTTTTTTTGGCCACAGGGACTCTCAAAAGCTATATAAGCTTGTGAACTTTGCCAGTGGGATCACCTATACTGTTAAAACTGGAAATGCTTAAAATCTTCATTAGTACTATTGATTGAGTTCGACTAGATGGATTATCCATCTTTTCAAATTCTAAAGTGATAAGATTCCACTATCGTATATTCTGTTTAGCCTGCTCCCAAGAACATTTTAGTCTCCTGGGAAGATTAATTCATAGATTGATAACAACACAAAGATACTGTCAATTACATGTGCTATAGCAAATAATATGGAAGCAGTTCAGTGGAGAGTTCACTGTGACCTTGAGTAATCAAGTTGATGAAAAATCTTCTCAGAGGAGGCAGCATTGAGCTAAACCTGGAAGGATGGCTAGGATTTAGATAAGTGGAAAGGAGAGAGAGCATAGTGAGGTGGATAGGATTCTCTGTACTTGGAGTCATGAACACTTGTGTTCAAATTCTGCCTCCTATACTTATTAGCTGTGTAACCATAAGCAAGTCTCTTACCCTCTCTGAGCTTGTTTCCTCATTTGTAAAACAAGAGGATTGAATGAGATGATCTTTAAGGTCCTTTCTGGCTTTAAACTTATGATCTCACAATTAGTAGGTTTTCCAAGAAAGAAGGACATTATGTAAAAAGGCCCAGAGGAGAAAGTACTTAAGGAAAGTTCATAGGCCTAGTCTAGCTGTAACTGTGAACTTAAGTAACTTAAATAACAGGAAAAAGATGAAAAGGGAACTCCTTAGCCTGGTATTTAAGGCTGCACATATTGTAGCTCCAGGCTAAGTATGGTTTTAATTCTTGAACAATGGAGGAACCACCAAAAGTTCTGAATAGCAGTAATATAATAAAAGTTTTATTTTAGGAAGAGTAATCTGGCAGTAGGATACAGGATGGGTTGGAACAGGGAGAGACTGAAAGTGGAGAGTGCAATTTGTAGGCTATGGTCTGGATATGAAGTAAATAGGGGCTGAACTAGAATGTTGATAGAAGAGGAATATACAAAATAAGTATATATCCCTTACCCTCACTCCCTTGAGAACAGGGATTTCTAGAATTCTAGAATTTAGAGCTGGAAGGGACCTAAAGATTATCTGCTCCAACTCTCATGGTATAGGAAAACTGGGAAATAAAGTCACTTTTCCAAGGTCATGCAGGCAGAGCCTTTTCAAACCTAAGCCCTCTAACTTAGAATCCCTCCCTCTTTCCACAGTTATCATACTGACTTCCTTTGTCATAACTATCCAAGCTGAGCATAATACTTCTCACATAGTAGAACTTCAAAAACGTTTACTGAACTGAAATTAACCCTGAGAAAGAACTTGCAAGGTCAAAATTCACCTATATTAGTCATTCACTTGCAGCAAAATTCCTAACAGTAATTATCCTACAGTTGAGAAATAGATGAGATATTAGTCTTTTTTTTTTTTTTTAGGCAATTGGGGTTAAGTGACTTGCCCAGGGTCACACAGCTAGTAAGTAAGTGCCAAGTGTTTGGTCTGAGACTGTATTTGAACTCAGGTCCTCCTGACTACAGGACTGGTGCTCTATTCACTTCACCACCTAGGTGCCCCCCTAGATGAGATATTAGATAAAAATCTAGCATTCAGTAAATTACTGATTTCTTTGACAAGCAGAAGGGGCCAGGAAAATGTCTCCTTGCAGGCCCAACAGGCTAAAAATGTGGATATTTCATTGAGGTCGTTTTCCTCTGGCTTAGTTAACACCCCTGTAGTGTTCTTTTCTACTGCATCTTCCTAATATCTTGGCACTAAGAGATTTACTACGCTTTTGGTTTAAAAGTGGGGGGCAAGGGTGGGGCTTGCTTGGGGGGCAGCAAATAAATCTGCAAAATAAAGGGGAATGTTCCTGGTTTATGAAGGATGTGTCAACGTGTTTGTAAAACAGATGGCAGGAAGAAAGTTGTTTTTTTCTTTCAGCACATATCATCCCCATTAGAAATATAAGCTCCTTGAGGGCAGGAACCATTGGACTCTGTATCCCCAGCACCGAAGAACGTGGTAAGGCACTTAAGAGACGCAGGTTGGTGTGGGTTGGCTAGTACAAGCAGTCCCGACAAGGGAGGAAGAGCATGGCTGGCCTGCCTAGGCACGTGTACAGAAGCCTGAGGGCGACCCTGGCCGAATCAGTTTTCGTGCACGGCCAAAAGTGATTCGTCAAAACTTCGCCAGTTCCAGGACCCAGAGATCCCCGCGCCTGCGGCCCACTTAGGCCAACCCACGAATCCCGGCATTCATTCCTCTCTCCTAGAAGGAAAGGGGTGATGGGAGTGGGGGGAGACATAGAAGCTGACAACGGCAGCAGCCAATCGGATTGTGTCCGAATATGACGTCTACAGTGCATGATGGGATTCGTAGTCTTCCCGCAGCTGCACTTTAAGATGCCGCAGGCCACGCGTCCCGCAGGAAAGCCCTGACTCTTAACTTCGATTAGATTTCTTCATTAACACAGCCCGGGGGTTTTAACCCTTTTCTTCGGGTCCAAAATCCGGCACTTGTAATCTCAATTATGCGCATGACGCTCAAACTCATCCTTTACCGTTTCCTAGCTCATTCCGCCCTAACCTGCATCCCCGCGCCCTTTAACCGTCGCTTGGAAGTCTCGAGAGAACACTCCTCTCCCCGTCCCAGTCACGCCTTACGCACGGCCGTCCCCGCGCAGACTGACACGCCCCTGGGCCAATTGGATAGCCACCCATCCGGGCCGCTGCGGGGGCGCGCTCGTCTGAGCCTCCGTGACCCTTGACCCCGGGTTTCCGTACTCCTTTGGTACTTAAGTACGCAGCGGGAGCCGCGGTCGCTGTCGCCCCCGGAGTGCAGGAGGCGGGATTTGGCCGCTTGCCTCAGGGAGGAAGGGAGCGAGCGAGCGACAGGCCGGAGCAGGACCGTCTGGCTCCCGGGAGAGGCTCTCGCCGGACTTCCCGCCCCCCCACCCCCTCCCCGCCGCCCATGAGACCGGCCCCTCGCGAGCAGCGCTGTAGTTAGGCGGGCCGCGCCGCTTTCTCTGCTCCTCCCGGGACAAGCCCGCGCTCCGCCGGGGAGGGGGCAGCCCTTGCAGGCGCCTTCCTCGTCACCGCCGCCGCAGCGCCGGGAGCGGGAGCGGGCCGGGCCGCGAGCCCCGGAGCTAGAGGAGGGCAGGAGGAGGAGTCTCGGCTTCGGCGGGCCGCCCAGACAGAGGCCGTCAACATGGCGAGCGCCTCGTACCACATCTCCAATCTGCTGGAGAAGATGACATCCAGCGACAAGGACTTCAGGTGAGGCCTCGAGATCCGCGCGGGGCCCCACCCCTGCAGGGCCGCCGCCGCCCTCCCTGCTCCGGCTCTGCCGGGCCCTGCCCCTTCCCGCCGCGAGGCCCTGCCCGGGCGCACCCCGAAGCCGCGATTGATCCACCAGGACCCGGGCGGGGGGGGCGGGGCGGGGGGAGGTCGGGCCGCCCGCCCGCTCGGGGCAGTCACTGGAGGTCCGGCCTCTCCCGAGGTCCTATGCCTCCCATTGGGGGGGCGCAGCCGCTGCTGGCCGCCCCCCCCCCCCGGGAAGGGCGCGGGGAACTGCTGGATTCATTGGAGGGTTGGGGGCGCTGGAAACTTGCCCGAGAAGCAGCGTGCGTGTGTGGGGGGGGTCTTTTTTTTTCCCGCCTGCATCCTTGCCCTCTTTCTTGGTTAAATTAGATTTGGGGGGGAACGGCTTTTGATCCTTAATTGCTCCGAAGCTTCCTCCAAATCCCGGCCCGGCGTCACTCTTGAGTCCGAGGCCCAGGGAGAAGGGGGGCGGTGCGGAGATCTGGGACCCGCAGGAAGGACTTGGAGCTCGATCCCATTGACCCTGTGCGTGTTTATTTTGCAAGGGCCTGTTTGTATGTGCTCCCCCATTAGAATGTGAGCTCCTTGAAAGCAGGGATCGTGCTTTAAATTTTTTTTTTTTAACGTTTTGCTATTTGTATCCCTACCCCAAGCTGAATTCTCTAGCAGTAGTAAATGCCTTATAAATGCTCGTGGCCTGAGTCGACCCCGTTAAAGTAAAGGCCACAGACTTTCTCTCCATCTACTCCTCCTTAGAACGATGTTTGGAGAGTTATTTCTGGCTTATCTTGACACCTTGCTATACATTATAGCAATCGTCCTTCTTTTACTCTTAGTAATACATTCTAGTATAAAATCAAGTCGAGGCGCATTTATTTATTGAATACACACTATGTGCTAAAGAAAGAAAAAGTTAATGTTTTTAAGAATCTTTTTGGTACTTAAGTTTATGGTTTGAAGCTTTTTGGAATGAGACTTGTATGTCTGCATAGCCTGTGTTCAGTCAGTGTTGTGAAGAAGCTCATGTTCTTTGTGTATTATTTCTTCTCTCCCGCCACCCCCTTTTTAAATATACGAGTCCAGCTAGACACAGAAGCAGTGTTTTTATTTCATGAAACAGGAAGGTCCTGAGAAAAAAAATTTTGTGATTCCGATTTAATTAAGTTGTTATACTTATGATCTTCAATAACCCAGTATATTGAAACTCTGGTTCTGGGACTTTTTGACCAGATAGACTTCTGGGTTTTTTTTTTAAGTAATTTTGCTCTACCAGGACTCTTTATATGCAAGATTCAGCATTTAACTAATCCTGAGGGTTATTCACTCTTGGATTAATTATTTGTTTTCTAAAAACCTTATTTACTTAGTAATAATTATAGGTCAAAATAAAAATTGTTAGGCTTAAAACCAAAAAATTATTCACATTCTTTGAATTTTTTCTTGGTTCCCAACTTGTCACTGAAGTATTTCAAGTTCTAAACTTTTGCATATTGAGCAAAATGCATGGTGCGATTTTTAAATTTACTTTATGTCCTAGCTTGTTCATTAAAATACTCAAAGTGCAAAAAGTGGTGGTATTGAGTTTCAGATTTTAATATTTCTTGTGGTGGTGGTAGTAGGGAGATCTACCTTTAATCATGAAGCGTATGGTAAAACACTGTGGAACATTCTAAGTGTGTTTTATAGGTATCATTCTAAATGTTTGATGTATTTTCATCTAATTATCCAGTTATCTGACAAACTTTCATCTAAAATATTTTAAATAGAATATGTAATGTCTATAGTTTTAGTATTAATGAGAGTAGTAGAATTGTATGGAACTGAAGAGGCCATCGCATTCAATCTTACCCCCTCAATTTACCAGTAATGAAACTGAGGCCCTGGGGAGGTTAGGCGATTTGCTCAGGGTCACAAAGGGGTGAGCATCAGAAGCAGAATTTGAACCCAGGTTCAGAACTCTGAGTCAAGTTCTCACTCTAAGAGAGCCCATGTTCTTTCAATCACTCCATCATTCCAAATGAGTTTATTGAATTTGATGTTCCTTTTCAGCTCAAAATTTCTGTGAATTTTCATTCTAAATTCAGGTTAGACTATAGACATCAAGAGTATATTGGAGCTAGCTCTAACTGGCATAATCTGATTGTTAAATTTTCAGTGTAAGCATTTATACCTCAGAAATTGGCAAGTTACACATATCAAGGCTTTAGTTTATTGGGGGGTTTTTTGGTTTCTTTTTTGATTGTCTAGTTTTTAAAAAGTGATGGAGAAAATGGTAATAATACAGATTAATGAAATGTGTCCTGTACTTTTACAGCTGGTTATTGGACATCTACCAGCGTACCCTTGACTGTAGTAGACAAACAGTGAACAACAAATACTGCAAATTGTGTAGCACATTATTGTAAATAGGAAAAAAAATGTAAAACAATTAAATGTAGTTTAAAGTAGTTTTTAAAACAGTATTTTTTAAAGAAAAATCTGACATCATGAAAATTCAGTTCTGGTTGTTATTTCTTTTTTTTAGCCAAGTAGTTTAATTTGATGTTACTTACATTTTTTATTTTTTAAAAATGAAGTTTGGTCTGTTTTTTCCTTTATTTTATCATATTTCCTAATTAAATCTACATGGTTTTGAAGTCCTTAAAAGTGGTTTAAGATAGACTTTATATAGATATATGTCTATACAGAGAGAGATACTTGTTGAACAGGTTTGTTTGTAGTTTTTGCCTAGCATCATAATCTTGCATATAGTAGTGCTGAGTAACTTTCTAAATGAATGAGGCAATGAATATGTTGTATGTAAATTGGCCATTATTTTTCTTATCCCCTTTGTAAAATCAGAATAATAATACTTAGCCCACCAATTCCACAAGGTTGTTTCAGGAAAGAGTTTTTTAAAACTTTTAATTATTTTGTCCCCACCAAACTAGTCGTTCAAATAAGAAATATAAGGAAACCTGGTTCTTTGGGAATAACTTTAAAGCAGAGATCAGTAGCCTGGGTCTTGGCACCTAGTAAAGGAAGCAGTTTTCATCGAGGCACCTAGTATTTTACTACAGAAATGTCCTTGGTTCTTGTGGTTTTTGCGTATTTATTTATTTACTTTTTATCATCACTTAACTGAAAAAGAAACCTTAGTCCACTAGAGAACACCACTGGATGAAGACAGTTGAGGACACCTGTTTGGTGTCTTCTTGGATTTCTCAGCCTTCATACTTTTTTTTTTTTAAAGGCAATGGGGGTTAAGTGACTTGCCCAGAGTCACACAGCTAGTAAGTGTCAAGTGTTTGGTCTGAGGCTGAATTTGAACTTAGGTCCTCCTGACTTCAGGGCCAGCGTGCTATGCACTGCGCCACCTAGCTGCCCCTCAGCCTTCATACTTGCTACAGATTGGACATAGGCTAAGGATGCAAGGGGGAGAAGAAAAGACTTTTTCGAGGGTTACAGTGGGGAACAGGTAAGCTGGAGCTGCTTATTCATGTGTGGTCCAAGAAGTGCATTAGCCAGTGTTTTTGCTCCTTAAGATTTTTTTCAAGAGGATAGCTAGATACTTTTCTGTAGCTTCTTGGTGACTCGATCTGGAATTAAGGTTAGAATCTATTGCTTTATGGCAACACTGGACTTCCCCTCTCCCCATCTATTTTATTTATATTTTTCAGCAAAAAATTTAACTGACTTTAACACTTTTGTACTGGGTTTATGATCCAGAACAAATATGTTAATGCAAACTACCCAAATAAAAGAGCATTGGACTGGGTCCTACAATAATCATTCATACTTGGTGTTTACATATGACTATGGGTATTCTAAGAATATAGTACTTATAAGTACGATTTCATTGTTATTTCATAAATTAAGAAATAGTTGGAAAGTTGTCCAAATTAGTGAACCTTTGTTTGACACCTCTTCTCTTCATCCCGTTACAATTCTTCAGTTTAACAAATATTGAAGTGGCTACTGTCTTTAATGCACTGGAAATACCAAGATGAGAAGAAACAGCTCCTACTCTTATGGAGTTTACAATCTAGTAGGAAATGTAAGACAAGCATTCTTATTTTTTTCTCCCCCTCATATTTCTCTTATATTCCATGCTGGTTCCATAATATTTGGTGCGTAATAGGTGCTGAATAAATACCTGTGCAGCATCAAACCAGCGTAATACCATCTTTTCACTAAGCTGACAGTCATTGTGTTCTGTAGCATAGTTGGACGCTGGGAGTCAGTGAAGTAGTTTCTTCGGTCTTCTGCTAGACTAAGTGCTCTGTACAGGAAGAAGGCTAAGCAGAAATAGGGACAGTGCTCACAAAGGACTGTAATTTTTCTCAGTAAGGTTAAAGCAAAATTTATTTTTTTAATTTTTTTTTATTTTTGGTTAGGCAGTGGGGTTAAGTGACTTGCCCAGAGTCACACAGCTAATATTATGTGTCTGAGGCTGGATTTGAACTCAGGTCCTCCTGAATCCAGAGTCGGTGCTCTATCCACTGCGCTATCTAGCTACTCCTGCAAAATTTATTTTGAATAAACCACCTTATGGATAATCTGTGTGTGAATGAAGGTTTGTTTATTTATTTTTTGATTGAGGCAGTGGAGGAAGTTGTGTGGTAATGTTCAGATAGCCAAACTGAAATTTTAGTTTAGTGAAAAAATTCTAAACTTGAATATGTGTGTAGTATTTTAAGAAACACATTGGTTTTTAGGCCCTTGCCTCTTCCCTCCCAAGGTAGTTATTTTGACAATGTGGATCTTTTAGTTTAAATGAAGGAACTTAAATTTCAGATGATTCCCCAACATTTTCTTGCTTATGCAAGGCTCTGTCCTAGGTGCTGAGGGGAATAGAGAACAACATAGGAGGTGCGAACCTTGCTTTAAATCAATCTATCTATTATGTGTTTATTAATCACTGTGTGCTAGACTCTGGTAAGATAAAAAAAGACAAAGTCTCTGCCCTCAAGGAC